TTTTCCCCTTAAAGTTGGAGAAATTATGAAGCCTTAAGAAGCACTGAGTATAATTCAACTGTAATCCAGGTTTAGATACAATTTAATAATAGTTCATTTCCAAAATAAAGTTATTATAGGTGAAACCATGAAATTGCCTAACACTTGATTTTAATACATTGCACTAATTTTTTAAAACAACTCTGAGGAACCAGTATTTACAATAGATGGAATATTTCTGAAAAATCTGCCATCAGGTATATTTTTGTGTGTGTATATTTGTTTAGATAGAACCCAAAAGATCATATGAACTATGTCATAAAAGCAGAACTAGAGTGCAGAGTGTGAAACTTTTTAAAGCATGGAGTTTGGAAAAGGAGCAAATATCTTTTTTCAAAACCTACTAAAGTTTTCTCAGGAGTGAAGTCAAAATCTGAACTGCTGTAGACAAAGGGAAGCTTTTCCAGCTTTATTTTTTTATCTGTGCCAGAAAGTCCAGTATCCCTGACGTAGGAACCACTGTAATAAGAAGGGAATGATAGGTTCACCCAAAGGAAGACTGTTGCTTCATTAGGACAATTTGCCTTGGTCATTGGGTGTAACCTTTTGTGTTTCCCAACCTAATGCTTCATAGCAACAAGATGTTTCAGTAATGGTTCATCATAAACCCAGCATTCTCCATCTTCATAGAATAACCTTGWCTCCCACTAAATTTTCTTCTTCCTTCCTTCCTTGGGTTTCTGCTCTTTGCCTTTCTTCAAGTTTGTACTTTGCTTCAATTGCTACATCAATGTCTCTGATTTTTAAATTGAAAGTGACATCCTTCTTTTTTTAATATTTATTTTTTAGTTATAGGTGGACACAATATCTTCATTTGATTTTATGTGGTGCTGAGGATTGAACCCAGTGCCTCACGCATGGTAGGCGAGCCTCAACCGCTGAGCCCGAGCCCCAGCCCCAGCCCATGAAAGTAACATCCTTCTAAAGGCAGCAGGACTCATACTTATTCTGATCTTTCAACTTACTCACTTTCTTCTTGATTATAGGCAACCTCTGTATTTTCCCATGTTGCATATTTTATACACATTATACTATTCCATTCCCCTTTGATCGAGCAAAAATACTTCCTGTCATTTGGAGAAAAAAATCTCAGCAGTAAATCTGTGTTTCTTGCCTCCATAGAAATAGAAAGGTTTAGTGTGGAAGACAATATTTGTACTATAAACTGTTTTGGTACAATTAATATTGCATTCTCCTCCTAGTTCCATCGAGGGACTGTGAGGATAGACCTTCCATAATTGTTGGGGAATGTGAGAATGTAATGTTCATCGTAGTCTAAACATGAGACACATCTTTGCCTTCTGTTGTGCACCCCAGTTAACCTCCCAAGGAATTTTGATTTAGTCCAGATATGAGCATCGAATTGGATTTTCTTATTAAAACATTCAGCATAATAGACTGAAATGGTGGATGATGGGAAACCTGAATGTTACACTATTATTGGAAACCTAAAGAAATGGCCTTTCTGAAACTAGCCTTGTGTTCTCTTTGGTGTCATTTGGTAATGTCCAGTGACACTGAAAGATCTCACCCAAAATGGGATTGTATGGCTTTTGGTTACTGATACTTTCCTTCATGCATGAAAGGCTGAGAGGTATCATTTCACAGTCTGAATGATTCGATCCCTATGATCTTTATGATCCGGATGTGCAAAAAAGTCTGCATACATTTCTAAAATAGATCTTTTTTCAAGAATGAATATTGGGGGCTAGAATTGTTAGCTCTGTGGAAGAGCGCTTGCCTAGCATGTGTGAGGCACTGGGTTTGATTCTCAGCACCACATACAAATAAATAAAGGTTCATCAACAACTAAAAAATATTAAAAAAATGAATAAATGTTGGAAGAACTACCTTAGTAAGATCCATTCTGAGCCTAACCTGTGACAAGAGGTGCATGATAACACTCTTGTACTCCTCCACTGACCCTGCCTCCTCCTCATCATCTCTGTCATCATGTGAACCAAAAAGGTCAGCATCACTTGTGCATTGGACATGGAAGAATTCTGTGATTCTGTGGTATCTGGGCGCTTTAGACTATTTCCTGAACTGCTGTGTGTCAAGATTAAGGCAGATCCAGAAGAATCTATTAMGTTCTTYGGGGATGAGCCACTCTSWAGGAATTCATCAGCATCACAGMATTCATCTACATTGCTAGAGTAAGAGAACTCTGGGACTGTATTTGGAGACAAGTTGACATGACTTGGAGAAGTCAGACTGCTAGTAGTGAATGCCCACTGCCTGTACTATTTGGTGTTGGAGTCTGATGATGTCCCAAGGTAGCTAATACAGGTCCAATAGGTAGGGAAGATGGCCACTGCTCTGACATACAAAACTGAGCTGGTTCTTGAGGTAAGACAGTCTGGGAAGGCATTGTGCTGATCACAGGTTCCAAGGGACTAGGTAGATATTGCATCTACAGGATTAATAATACTTTTAGCAATCTGCAGCAACACAGTGCAGTGTTTAATTGATTCTACCATGTTATTTGTTGTGTGAGAGTTTCAGTTTTCTTTCTCTCTTCATCATCTTTACAGTTTTGAAGCTTGTCATCCAAAAGTTTTAGTTGCTCTATCAAGATTTGTAGGTAAGCATCTGCCTTTGTCAGTTTTTTGTCAAAATCTTGGACTTTAGGAACAAATCCTGAATCTAAACCTTCAGAGGGCTGTTGGAAGGAGGCAGGGGGAGCACGACATTGGTGCCTCCATCCTTGCCTGAGCAGGCAGCAGGGACCCTGGGGACTTAGTGGTGGGGACCAGGCTCTTGGGGTCTATTCACTGCAAGCGGTGAGCAAGAAAGCCATTTGCCAAGGCCATCATCTTTGGTGCCTCCTGGAGTGGGAGTGGGGGCCTGCTCCTGAGCACCCCTCTTCTACCCCATCCAACAGATCTCCAGATCCCCAGGTGGCATTGTAGGCAGCTCAGCCAGAGGTTCATCCCCAATTTGAGGTCTTTGAAGATGTATAAAAATGTCTCTCTTGGATGTTTATATCTGGATTTTATGTAGTTTTCATATTTGTGACTTGTATGCAGTTTTTGCATCATAAATCTTGCATGGGACCTATTATTATTTCTCTTGAAATTTTTTCATTGTCTCCTCCCCCCYTTTTTTTTAAACATCATTTTTTGTAGAATTGTAGAATTTCAAATGGCATTTTCCTGGAGCAACTTATTTGTATTGGTCTTTGGGAATATTTCATTAGTGTAAATATTTTCACTTTACAGTGGCATACTCTTTTAAATAGAACTTCAGCTTTATACTTGAGTTCCTTGACTTTACCTTTTAAGCATTAGGACCATTGGCATACTATTGTTAGAACTTAAGTACTTTCCTTTTGTCACAGGAKCTTGAAATGACCCCTTTTAGGACTGACAAGTTGTGATTGGGGTGATAACCTCCCATTGTAGAAAAACAAGAGAGATGTAGTTAACCAAATGCAATGGGCTGGAAACCTTTATCAGCACATACAGTAAGTATGTAAGCAGAGGCAGGGAGGGGAGCCCTGAGCAGGCATTTCCTCTGTGTTGGTGTTTTTTACTTCCAATTTGAGAGTTCTGTGGGTTTGGGTTTAATTGTGATAATGGTCTCTGGGGTAACATGGGCTGTAAGTGCCTTAAGAACTCCAGTCTTGTTAAGAATCAAGCCCACTCTGAAAGACCACTGTGCATATTTGTTCATTTCAAAGGTTGAAAATAGTATTGATAAAAAAGAAATTTTGTAGCCCAGCACTAGACACATAAAATCAGTCCCATGTTATTACTTTTTTATTCCCATATCAGAGTGGGTGTGGCTAATGCTATTAATTTGGTACATTCTCTTTGGTGTATATAAAGTTCATTTTAGGTTCTTTCCCTTACTTTTCTCCCTTTGTATTTGAAGAAGGAACATATTGATGAAAGAGAATTTGTAGTAATTTACATTGTACAGATTTTTTTTTT